CCACACACACACACACCAGAGAGAGTTAACCACAGTGGTAAAAGAAAGAAGAGGGACAGTGGGTGAGGAAGCCCAGGCGGCTTGTGAGGGCTGTTTGGGATCAGTGTGTAGGGTTGCCTCACTTGTGAGTGGGGGACTCAGGGCATACCCAACTGGTCACATACCCACCTGGGGCTCTGGGCTGTGAAAGCAGACACGTAGGAACTCGGGTCAGAGGGAGGGTGGGGCTTGGCACAGAGGAGAATAAAGTCTCCCAGGATTCAGAACTTCTGAGAGTGGCCTGGTATGACTAGCCAGCCTGCATTACTTGTTCTTGAAGGAGTAACATGGATAGGGTTAGAAGCCCATGTCCTGGAGCCAGATTTTCAGACAACCTTGACTTGGCGAAGTCACAACCACTTTGAACCTGGTCTTCACAGTGGGATTATGAAAGTGTAATCTTGTGGAGTCCGTGTGAGTATTAAATGAGTGGATGTGTTTACAGTGCTTAGGAGAGGGCCCAACAGGAATAAACTCACAAAAAGTGCTATTATTTGAATTACTTTAATAATTGAGCAGATGAAATTGTGTGGAGAGCTTCCTTTCATCTCTCTTGTTTTACCTCAAGCATGAGCCTGGCAGAACTAACAGATGTGGTATCCTTGACCAAGTGTCCATTCTTATGTCTCGGTCATGAGGGAACCTGGAAGGAATTACAGTTTCTCCTGCCAGCTGGACCAAGAATAAAGGGCAGTTTCCTGGGCTTGGCAGAGCTTTTCAGGGCACTGAGGATTTTTGCCATGAGCTCTCCAGGAACTGTGGCTGCAGGGTCCACATAGGGACAGCCTGGCCTGGCCGCGGGCTGAACGTGGTGCTGCTGTGCAGAGAATCCTGACCCAGCCCTGCATCCCCCTCCAGCTCTGCCCTCCCCTCCCCCCATTGCTGCTGCTCAGGAGGGGCTGGCGAGTCAACAGGTTGCTAGAGCTCACCACATCTGGAACAGACCAGAATGCTGGTAGGTGTCTGCCTCACTCTTGGCTCAAACACCATTTCTTTTTCTTTCTCTCTCTTTTCTTTTCTTTTCTTTTCTTTTCTTTTCTTTTCTTTTCTTTTCTTTTCTTTCTTTTCTTTTCTTTTTCCTTTCTTTTCTTTTCTTTTCCTCTCTTTCTTTCTTTCTTTCTTTCTTCTTTCTTTCTTTCTTTCTTTCTTTCTTTCTTTCTTTCTTTCTTTCTTTCTTTCTTTCTTTCTTTCCTCTTTCTTTCTTCCCTCTTTCTTTCTTTCTTTCTTTTTTTTTTTTAGAGGTTTTTCCTATAGGGCACGTGCGCTCTCCAGAAAGACAGAGACAGACAGAGACAGACAGCAAAAGATCACCCCCTAGGGGGGATGGCCACACTGCAATCCCTTCTCCTCCATTCTCCTCTCGGCATCTTGAGCATGCATGTACATGCTCCTGGCGTGAATTTAAGCCACTGGGTCTGGTACTTGAACTGCGGTCGACTACATGAGAGTCCAGCAACATAGCCATTACTCTAACTGCTGGTCCTTCAAACACCAGTTCTTGGAGCTCATTACAGAGCACCCTCATCCCATTTAAAACTGCATTCGGACGCCATCTCCTGTTTCTATTGTTCCCTGTACCGGTGTTCTTGTACTTCGTCACTTATTGTCTGCTCTCTCCCCTATAATGGGAGCCCCATGGGTTTATTTTCTGACAGTTTATGCCTAGAACAGGGCAGGCACTCACAGGGGTCATCAGGTATCTGCGGAGGCATTGAGGAGTCAATTGCCTAGAAGAGACTGGGGTTCCTGGATGCTCCCCGTCTCCCAAACACTGAGGAAAATGACTCACATCATAGACTTACATAGTTATCAGTAGGTAAAGATTCTTGTGTAGTCTTTGTGCTTTTGTGAGGTTATTTTCCAAATGATGAATTAAAGAGCATCCAAATTTAACTAGTTCATGTCTTTGGTAACTGAAATGCCCCAAATTAGCATGACTTGCACCTTCTCCCAGTCACAGTTGAGCTCATAGTCACACAAGAGCTCATGGCATCTCAGAGGAGAGCTAGGATTATTACCCACAGTGCAGCGGAGAGACTAGCCTGGGGCAGGAGACAAAGGAGGCCACCACCCCTTTTCTGTGCTCCGTGCTGTGCAGCCTCACACTCATCCATGGAGGGTGATTCTCTTCCTTTACTACTGTGCTTCCAGAGGCTCAGAGAGGCTGAGTGACCACCTGAAGGCTACATAACCAGAGTAGTACCCCCAGAGTCTACCTGTCTGTCCAGTCTCTCATTTGGAGGCAGCATCGCACTCTCACAGACCCTTTTTCAATTTTTTTTTTTTGAAGAGGTTTTTGCTATAGGGTGTGTGTGCTTGCCAGCCAGCCAGACAGAGACAGAGAGACAGAAAGTGAGAAATCACCCCCCAGGGGGAATGGCCATACCGCAATCCCTTCTCCTCGTGCGATCTTGGGCACACACGTACGCGCGCTCAGTGTGAGTTTTAAGCCACTGGGTCCGGGATGCAAACCACGGTCGACATGGGAGTCCAGCGACATAGCCATTATGCTAACTGCTGGTCCCCCTTTTTCAATTTTTAAAACTTGCCAAAGGACAAATGCACTCACTAGAGAGTGAGGGGAGAGGAGAGGAGAGGAGAGGAGAGGAGAGGAGGGGAGGGG